TGCATCTATTCTTGCTAGCCAAGATTGGAACAGTTAAGTCTCCATATTCTCTGTTGAGTGGGCAGAGTGATTTTAAATAATATAAAGTAGACAGACCCACAACACGCTCCTTGAACATCACATTGTACCCTTCTTTCCTCTAGCTACAGGGCCCCGGGGAGCTGGGCTCTGCTCACCACTCTGCACTCAACCCCTCCCTGTCTTGCTAAGGCTCAGTCCACTCCTGCCTCTCTGATCTTGAAAGCCCTCAGTTCCCCCTCCCATCCTTTATACTTGCCCTTCTCTCTGTCTCCATTGTTCTCCTTCTCCCAACATCCCAACCCTCACCATCCCCAGCCCTGCTTTCACTTGACTTGTACAGCTCTTCATTCAGTTCTCTCCTGATGGCATAGTGCCTAAGGCATTTGTATGCTAACCAGAGGTTGGTGAGTCAAACCTACCAGCCACTCAGTGGAAGGAAGACTGGGCAATCTACTTCCATGAAGATTTATTGCCTCAGAAACTCAAAGGGGGTCACTATGAGTCAGAATTGATTCAGTGGCAGTGAGTTGTTTTTTTTTCCCCCCAAAGAGGATATCTTTTCTGACTCCTTTTTCTAGAAGAACATTTTCTCTCACCACCACCCCCCATAGGCTCTGGCCTTTTTTCTGTCTTATTTTTCCTTAAAACACTTACACTTGCCTGAAATTATATTTTTTAGTCTACTCTTTTAGTGTCTGTCAAAAATTGAAGCAGCATGAGGGCATACCTAATTTTCCATGTTTATTGCTATAGCCTCAGCACCTAGAACAATAGAAGCTTTGGGTCAGATCACTGGTGTGCAAATCCTAGCTGACCACTTAGTAAACTCATGGCTTTGGGCAAGTTACCTCCATGCCTCAATGTCCTCATCTGTAAATTGGGTATAACAGTAATGCGTATGGACTTTACAAAATATTGTTAAATGAGATAATGCAGTGTTTGTTGTTGTTGTTGTTATGTGCCATAGAATTGGACCTGACTCATAGTGACCTTTCCTTGGGTTTCCAAAGCAGTATCACTACGGAAATAGATTGGCCAACCTTCCTTCTGAGGAGTGGCTGGTGGGTTTGAAC